AAAGGTGCAACTTGTAACTATTTTTTTTTTTTTTTCTTTATACATTCGTATCAGTGGATGGCGATTATAAAAAAATTTCCACTAAAGACCAGTTCACACCACATGCAGTGCAGTGCTTTTTTCTGCATCACAAAAGCATGGAAAATAGGTTATATGGGTTCTAATAGCATAGTTCACACCAGCACAGTGCGTTCTAGTGCTTTTCAGTTCCAGAAAAAAAAAAGTACAACATGCTGCTTTTTTGCTGCACAGAACTGTACTGGAGTGCAGTAAAAAGCACCAGACCCCAGTACAGTAAAAAGAAAAAATATGGGGAAAAAGAAGAAGAGCATCTGGAGAGCATCCAGAAATGAAAAAAAAGCAGCAAAACAGGTTAACAAAAAGCATGCAGAAAAACATCTGGAATGGATCTGGAGTACTTTTTTTGTGGTGTGAACTGGCCCTAAAGTCTGATATATATTATATATTTTTTTTTTATTATTATTTTTTTTAAAGTTCTCAATATGGTTTTAGTGAATTATCACCTCTAAGAACTTAGTTTTTACATAGTGTATAAATGTGCATTACATTATTAAAATAAATATATATATCTTTTACATAAAAGTATATGTAAAACCAACCTTTTTGTTAGGCTCGCAATACATTTTACAATTTCCTTTTATATTTACCAAAATCCTATACTATATGAGTTTAATCCTAAACACTTTCAATTTCTATGCAGTCAGGCAGACCCTTGCACTAGTTCCAGGTAAATCCAAAGGAAATGGAACAAAAAAATTGTATAGTATATGGCCAGCTTAAGGCTGGCTATACATGATACATTTTCTTTCATTCAACCTGCGGATTAAACCAAAGAAAATTAATGAATTCCCCCATCCACACATTCGAGATGGATGGGGGCATCCCTTCCGCAGAGCTTTTGTTTTTTTTTTTTTGACAGTAGGGAGGCTTTCCCACCATAGCCAGGGACACCAATTACGCGAAAATTTTCCATCAGGCTCTTTGTACAGAAATGGTTTGACAGATCGACTTCTGTACAACCAGTGTGCCCATACACATTATGAACATGTGCCTCTGTTGTGATCCGATCCTGAGAATCTGTAGCTATCCTCACTTTAAAGTGGTTCTAAAGACTCAAGTTTTTTTTTTTTTTTTTTACCTTCATGCATTCTGTGCATGAAGGTAAAAAACCTTGTCTTGGAATCTCAGCTATCCTGGGACTCCCTCTTTCTCATTGGCTGAGACAGAAGCGGAAGCCACTGCCCCCCCCCACCACTACCACCATGCTGTCAATCATGCATAGCCAGTGAGAAGAGAGGGGGCCGGGCCGAACTACAGCTGTTGTGCGAATGAACACATGGAGCAGCAGGTGCCCCCAAAGCAAGCTGCTTGCTGTGGGGACACCCGACAGGAGGGGCGGGGCCAGGAGTGCCTGCTGGGGACCTGAGAAGAGGAGGATCCCGGCTGCTCTGTGCAAAACCACTGCACACAGCAGATAAGTATAGACCTGTTTGTACAGACGAGGTTTATAACGCAGCAGCTGGTTGCAGGGCGGTCTGGCAGGAATCATCACTCTGTACTTCACGGTTCCTTTTTTTTTTTTTTTTTTTTAATTTAAATGAAGTTTATTGAAATGTCATACAGACATTTCATAAAGTTCAGTTGGTTGCGTGAGGTGGTGCCATGTGCTGCACCAAAAAAAAGTAGCTCAGTCCCACCACATCTGGTATGAATGGAGCCTAATGCTCAATATACACTGAATGTTTAGCCCCGGTTCATGGGTCTCTGGCATTTAGCTGGAGGCAGAGGGCACAGGTATCCAGTCCAGCCCTGCTGCTGCCGGTCTGTCAAACTCCGTGAGGCTGGCAGCTGCACAGGGCACCTAGAGATATGAATGTTTAGGCAGTGTGCCCCCGGGATGAATGCCCAGAATGCAATTCCAGACACGGCACCTGTATTGTCCCAACACTTAGCATGCTGCAGTTTGTGTGTTTCTGGTTATTGTTTTGCCGATAGTGTGACATCTTGGTTGATTATTTTGCAATTAAGGCATTTGCCAATTTTCCATGACTTGAACACAAAGCTTGCCAATGTCCTATTGTATACGATTCCTGTGGTGATTTGAGGACTCGCAACTTAAGAGATCATTTTTAGCACAGATTTACTTTCCCTTTGGTTTCAGATTGTGGAACTGCCTGTTCTTCAAGGTCATACTTTCAACAGGACTTTGTGTGTTTTTCCTCTGCAGTTGTTAGTGCTAATAATGCAAGATTGCAGGTTCAAGTTCATTACAAAAATAGGCTGTAATATGCCTCCACATAAATGGAAAAAAGATTTATATACAGTAGTGCCAATTAGTTTTTTCCAGTCCTTGCACTTGGTACAGAGATAAGGGGACCCCGAGCGCCCCCCACCCCAAAAAAAAAAGTATCTGTGACAGACGTGAAAGGGCCCGAGAAGCCGTGGAGAACGTTATGCTGCCTATAACATCGTTCAGCATTTTGGTGGTGGGTCAGTGATGGTCTGGGGAGGCATATCCATGGAGGGACGCACAGACCTCTACAGGCTAGACAATGGCACCCTGACTGCCATTCGGTATCGGGATGAAACCCTTGGTCCCATTGTCAGACCCTACGCTGGTGCAGTGTGTCCTGGGTTCCTCCTGGTGCATGACAATGCTCAGCCTCATGTGGCGAGAGTATGCAGATAGTTTCTGGAGGATGAAGGAATTGATACCATTGAATGGCCCCCACGCTCGCCTGACCTAAATCCAATAGAACACCTCTGGGATATCCTGTTTTGGTCCATCCGACACCGCCAGGTTGTACCTCAGACTGTCCAGCAGCTCAATGATAACCTGGTCCAGATCTGGGAGGAAATACCCCAGGACACCATCCGTCGTCTCATTAGGAGAATGCCCGATGTTGTCAGGCATGCATACAAGCACGTGGGGGCCATACAAACTACTGAGTACCATTTTGAGTTGCAATGAAATTTTGGCAAAATGGACTCGCCTGCTGCATCATTTTTTCACTTTGATTTACAGGGTGTCTTTGAATTCAGTCCTCTGTAGGTTGATCATTTTTTCATTTCCATCAAACGATGGGGCATCCTTATGTTCCTAACACATTACACAGTTCATATCAGTATACATATCAGATCTCGATGCGGAGAAATCTCATGCTGGATGTGTTTTCAAAGTGTTCCTGTATTTTTTTTAACGTGTGTGTGTGTGTATATATATATATATATATTTTTTTTTTTTTGCATTTACACAGCCTTGGCAGACAAAGGGGACCTTGTTTTTCTCTGCTGCAATTTACAGTACAGCATGGTTATGTCCAAGTCTGTGACGCTGAAGGAGCAGCAGACCGACATGTTCATCCTTTTGCTGACTTTGCTTTCCACATGTCAGCTTATTCATTGTCGACACGAGTGTTCACCAGTAATATCCCTCCTTCTTTCTCTTTGCTGTATGGGACAAGGGTTTGATATAATGGTTGCTAGTAAAAGGAAGTTTTTCATAATTTTCAATTTCAATCAATACCTAACACTTTTATTACATTTTTTTTTTTGGTGTGTAGTTCAGCTTTAACTATGGAAAGTTTTACCCCCTTCAGGATCAGGGCATTTTTTGCTATTCAGCACTTGTGTGGTCATGCGATAATGTATGCAAATAGTTTTTTTTCCCACACAAATCGAGCTTTCTTTTGATGTTATCTGATCACCACTATTTTTTTTTTTTTTTGCGATTATAAAGAAAAAAAAAAGACCGAAAATTTTGAAAAAAAACCCAATATTTTTACTTTCTGTTATAAAACATATCCAATAAAATCAAATTTCATCATAAATTTAAGCCAAAACATTTTCTTCTACATGTCTTGGGTAAAAAAAAAATTTCAATAAGTAAATATTGATTGGTGTGTGTGTGAAAGTTAGTCTGATGTACTGACCACTTATTTTAGTTCTTGAGGCCCTAAAATACCAGGACAGTACATATACCTCCCAAATGACCTATTTTTGGAAAGTAGACCCTAAGGCATTTATTAAGCGGCATGGTGAGTTGTTTTGAAGTTGTAACTTTTTTTTTTTTTCCACCTTTTTTATTTATTACATTTTTTTAATCATTTTTTTTACATACTTTCAGAGTAGTTCAGTGCCACCATAGTAACACTGTACTATGGGGAGTGAATGGGATTTTTTTTTTTTTTTTTAGTACATTGTAACAAGCAACATTTTCAGCTGTTATGAATGGGTTAACCATTCATGACAGCTGTGATCACTAGTAATCTGTGATTGGCTACATCTAATCACATGGTACAGGGTGCTGTGACTGGCCCAGGTACCATGTGATAGCTGTGGGTCAATCACAGCAGAGGAATCACAGCTGTGATTAATGAATTCATTCAAAACAGCTTTGTTGACATTGTGATCATGAGCTAGATGAATCATCTACCCTTACTCAAGATGGTCACAGCAAGCCAGCCAGGGGGTGTTTTTGAGAATGATTTCTCAGCAAAATAAAGTATGGAGTCAGATGGATGGATGTGTTTGCTTTGAATATTAAAAATTAATTAAATAGCATTCTAAGTTTTTGGTGCTCAGGTGCAGTGTAGTTCTGCTTTAATATCCTGGATTCCTTGCATGGTTTGCAGCTTCTTCTCTGCTTTTTACTTTGTTTCTAAGAACTACATATCCAATGGTACCTTGCTGCCTGGAAGCAGTGATTCTTGTACTGATGCAATCATACCTAATCTAATGCTCTGAAACATGAATGCATACAAAACCAATAAATGACCTACTTGTTTTTCATATGCTATTAGGAAATGAATGTTCGAAAATATTTTAGATTGCTGTAGAGTTTGCCTAGTTGTGCAAGTGTATTCATTATTTTTGCTGGAGAAAATATCATTTCTTTAAATGCTGACCTGTTGATATAGAACTAATGACTTTTTTTTTTCCCCAGGTGTAACAGTTCTCCATACTCCTAACGATACAGCATGGAACCAGAGATTATCCGAATGTACTCTTCTTCCCCGCCACCTCTTGACAGTGTCGCAGATGATGATGAAGATGAAGAGTTTGGAGAGTTCGGAGGATTCTCTGAAGTCAACAATTCTGGAATTGGATTTGCGGAATTTGATACAGTTAATTTTCCTAAAACGAGAGAGGACTTCATACCATCAAAACACTTTTTGCCGATACACGATTACACCGATAGCTCTGTAAATAACTTTGCTAGCCTTACCTCTATTAAAGCTGGTGAGAACGTCTCTGAAATCAGTAGTTCCAAGAAGGGACTTTCATCCGTGTTTGAATCAAACACCAACCATGAAACCACCCAGTTCAATGTTGATGCACTTGATAATAAAGGGAGCTCAGGGGAGATTGAAACACAGTTAAACTCTGAAACCCATATTTCTTCTGTTGACAATGCAGATTTGGTATCAAGAGGCCAGGATCAAATGGTTAGCACTTGTAATGGTGAGAAAATACACAGTCTAGAAAATCTAACCAATGGGTTTACAGTGGTAGATCCTGCTAACCCTCAGGGATTACAAAATATGGACAGTATGGGGCACTCAAAGGGATTTAAGTCTGTTAGTTCTCATAGTACAGATTTAAGCATAGATTTTTCACCACCCAGCCCTGGTGATGGTTTTGCAGACTTTGCCACGTTTTCAAGTAAAGACACTGTAGACTTGGGTGTTACAGAGCAGCAAGCACATATGGATTTGCATGAAGAACAGACTCCAAGTATTCAGCTTAATACTAAATTGAGTAGATATGAAGATGAAATCATCTCTGCTCCGACGGAAGTACTTAATGAATCTGCCTGTCAAGACAGAATGAACTTTGATGATGTATCATCTGCCAATCCTCATTTAGAACAGGATACACTAACATTTGGCAGTGTTCCACCTCCTGATTCTATGGCACCTGAAACTAGTATATCTGATAGTATGCACCTAATGGATACCAAAAACAACTCCTGAACTTACACTAAGTTATAATGAGGATGTGTTACAGAGTTTTGATGGTGATGGTTCTTTAGCACATGAAAATTCACTGGATAGAAAAGAGTTGGTGCTCGATTTAAATAAAGAAAGTGAGAATATCAATATTGGGAATATTTCTCATGATCAACCAGAGTACGATAGTTCGTTTGGAGATTTTAATGCTGCTACTGAAGAATCACCTCCACCTTTGACAGACACAAGTGAGTCAAGTAATTCGCACTTTCATGCACCTTTAGACTTGGATATGAATGAGTTGGAGGATGATTTTGGTGACTTTAAAGATACAAACATTGGCCCTTTTCATGAAGAACAGATAGTAAATTCAGAAAAACTGTCATTGCCCAGTGTTGCTGAAGAACAATCTCAGCCAAAGCCCAGTGAGGAAACTGATGAATTCAGTGATTTTGGTCATTTTGTTTCTTTAGAGAAAAAAGAAGAATGGAGTACTGTGCAAGACTCTAATGATTTTGCTGACTTTGGTACAGCAGGCAGTTCTACACAGCCTCCAGAATGGAATGCATTTGAGGATGACCAAGGAAAAAGTTCATCATGGGCTGCATTTGAAGATCAGAAAACCGATTCCCAGGCCAAGCCTGATGACTGGCAGTCCTTTAGGACAGATATGCCCTCTAGTACTGATAGTCAGGTCATACATTCAGAAAATGTTGACTTGCCTGCATTTCATGACTCCGAGTCAAATTTAGTTTGTGAAGATTCAACACTTGCCTTCCAGGTAATTGATAAATATATGCACTTTCTTTATTCATTATGGGTTAGATCTTAAGTCATGAGGTGGTGGGAGGTTTCTTTCCCCTGTGTGGATCCTGGACAGCAGGGAATATAGAAGAAGCTGAAAAATGGTAAGATGATAGTGCTAGTTTTATACATTTATTGGCAGCTTGGGACCTAAAATTTCTCCACCCACCTGGGGCCTTTTGTATTCATTCAGGGTTCTATAGGTGCTTTGGAGAAATGATAGAGGTGGAAATCCGTAAGTAATCACAGATATTAGCTGTAGCTTGGTATTTTTCTTTAATTACTAATTTCATCTAGCATATGCAGTAGAATTTTTGTGCTTTGGTATAATCAGACATGGTAAGAGAGCTTTAAAGAGCTATTTAAAGGACAGCCCATCCAAAACTGATATAGTTTTTATAGTTAAAGTATGGTGCGTGATTTTTTTTATGTTTTGGATACTCCAGCAGTGAGATATCCTCTTTTCCTGTTCATCTTTTGGGTTGGGTGTTCTGCTAACCTTTGCATGTTCAAGTTCCTTATAGTACTTTCTCCATAATATGGAGAAAATACATTTAAAAATCCAACGGGAGAGTGAGAACCCCTTGTAATGGTCACAGCAGGTATGTTCCAACCCAGGTATTCAACTACAGGTATCTCACCAATAAGAACCCCTGGGAGATGAAAGATATTTTCAGATTGTTTAACTCTCCATCATCTGCTAAAAACCAAAATATCTGGGTGGATTGACTCTTTAAACTCATTGGCTATTTTTGTTTCATGTTATTGGAATCACATGTCCACTGAATTTTTAGAAATGTCTGCTGTCTCCTTACGCTATGCAAGTCCTGAATTAATTTAATGTGTCCACAACAAAGGAAACACAGGTTTATAGCTTGAAGACAGCAGGTCAGGGTTTGTAAAGATAAATAAAACCTACCCACTGATCTAACAGGACAGAATTGTGGCAGTTTTTTGTCTATAGGTTCTGAATTGACTGACTCTTTTCCTTTGACTTTTGTGTCTATTGAAGGACATGGAATGTGATTCACTTTCATGTTTTACTGCCGCCTAAAGGCTGTGCATAACTGCAGTAAAAACCCCAGCCAAGAATCTGATTGTCCAGGCCTTCAAATGTTTTGTCAGCTCTACTCTAGAGAACAAAAACTTCAAACTCTCTGATATTAGATTTAAGCTCTCCAGTCCAATAGTCATTTCACCCTTTGCTTTTGCATAAGAGGCTTGGGTATGATGGCAGCCTCCTTTTTGAGGCAGTCCTGTTTTCCCAGTTTCACTCCAGATCTCTAGAAAGCTGAATTCTGATATCAGTCCAGTCCATGGACAGATTGATTATATTCTGGTTCTGAATTTGATAAAGTCCTTCTTTCCTGTCTTTTGCAAGATCTTCACTACAGATATGATTTTGTTCGGCTGCACAGGAGTCCTATCAGTTCAGGGGACTTGGTTGTTGGAGGAGTCTCCTCTCCTGACCAACATCCAAGAACATGAGGCTATTTGATTGTATTTGCACCACTGGACCATCCTGCTGGAGTGAACCTTATACAGATTCAGTCCCATAATACCATGGTGGTGGCGTACATTAACCTTATGGAAGGAACAAGACGTTTTGCAGTGGCAAGAGAATTAGATGCCATCAGGTCCTGGGCAGAACTGAACATTCCAGCCTTGTTCGCTGTGTACATCCCTGGCATCAACAATTGGCAGGCAGAATTCTTCAACTGGCAACATTTGGACACGGGGGGAGTGGTTCCTACAACCAGAGATGTTCTAGGACCTATATCACAGATGGGAGATGCCAGATGTAGACCCCCTGGCCTCCAGGGTCAACAAAAAACTGGACAGGTTTATCGCTAGATACAGGGATTCTCTTGCGGAAGCAGTAGACTCCCTAATGTATGTCTTTCTTCCCCTGAAACTTCTTTATCTGCTTCACAGGTTTGGGATGAAGAACATCTCATAGTTCTTTATTGTGACCCATTGCTCTGGACTGACCCAGACATATATGGTGTACCAACCTGGTAAAACCCATGGCAGACACTTGTGTGAGCTCTACTAGATCATCTGGGTCTTCTGTGTCAAAGACCGATATACCATTCTGCTTCACAGTTGCTGGTTTTAACAGCTTGGCTTTTAAAGCCTAGTTTCTGAGAGATAGGTATCTAGGAACTAGGAAGTCCACTTCCCACAAGTTCTTTCAGTGGACATGGAAGGCATATTTCACTTGGTGTGGGTCTCAGGGCTTCCACGTTAGGTGTTATCTCCATGGGACAAATCTTGTATACAGGTGGGTCTGGACAAGCATTTGGCACTCGGCACTATCAAAGGTCAGTTTCTCCCCCCTTGCTATCTTTTTTCTGAGACCATTCGCCCTCTCACTCACTATTTAAGACCTTTGTACAGGAGGTCTTCCATGTGGCTCCCCCTGTTTGCTCCTCTGTGACTCCATGGGATCTAAATTTGATTCCCACTTCGCTTCATAAATTGCTCATTAGAGATATTCATCTCTCTACTCTCTCACACAGGAGGATGGTATTCCTTGTAGTCATCATCTCTTCAAGGAGAGTGTCTGGATTGGTGGCCTGATCCTACAAGGAACGTTTTTTTTGTGGTTTTTTTTTTTGTTTGTTTTGTTAATGGTGTTGAGGCCCAGGACTTCCTTTTTGTCTAAGGCTCTTTGCACAGAGGAGCGTCTAGCTGCTGTGTGTCCCTCCTGGTGTTTTAGTGCACCCAGGAGACGCAGGTGCAGCATCCAACCCCACTGCCTGCAGACTATCAAAGTCTATGCAGGCTGCAACTGGATGGGGCTGAATTCTGTACCGAGTGGTGCTCGCATTTAGGACCCTCTGTGTGTGTGTGCTCAGCAATAAATGGCCAGAATGCAGAAGACCTCCATCGACTGGATGTGGTTGGGCTGTGAGAGTCTAACTCTAAGCCACTGATTCTTTCTGTAAGACTGATTCCCTTTTTGTCATTTTGGACAGTCCCTGTAAAGGAGCACCAGCTTTTTGCTTCATCATTTCTAGGTGGCTTAGACAGACCATCATCCAAGCTTAAAGTCTCAAAGATTGAGACCCCTTCCTGTTTGTCCACTCTATTGATTCTGTGAATGCTTCTCAGCATCAAGTAACTGTTTGCCAGCTTTTCAAGGATGTCACCTGGTCTACGGTTCACACAGATGGATGTTGTAGTCTCATCTTGGTGCCAGGGTAAGTTGAAAAGTCTTTCAGGTGGCTCTTTGAACTGCAGGCAGTTCCCAGTTTTCTATAGTTTATTGGGCCTATAAGCATTTGTTTGCTTTTGGACATCCCAAACATGGAGGATTTGGTGTGTCCCTCATGGAATGAAAAAAAAAATATGATTTTTGTACCGACTGTAAAATCCTCCCCTTAAAGCCCATTGAGGGATCCAGGTCCCTCCCCTCTGTGTTTGTGATTATGTTCTCAGTATTGCTGAGCCATTCTGGTGGTAGTAGGGGTTGTCCTAGGCTGGCATACAGTTTCTTGTTTACCAGTGTCCAGTCCTGCTGTAGATGGTGGTAGTATAAACCAAAGGTGAAAGAGTTACTGTGTCTCTCAGTGGACTCCAAGAAAAAGATTTTACAGGGAATATACAAATCATCTTATTTAGCCATAGGCAGTTCATTGCAAGACTATATTGCCTTGACTTAAAAATTACGTTTCAACTGAATTTTTAAAAGTAGCAAATTACATTACATTTTCAAATGAATGGATTTATTGTCTCTGTAAGCAAGTTACAGAATACTTTATTATGAGGCCAAGTATCGAGCAAACATTTATTGTATATTAGATGTTTTCTAGTATGATATTGAATAATCCAAATGACCTCACAGTGAACTTATTTTTCAGTCTGTGTCATTGTACATCCTTTTTTTTTGTTTCCACCATTTTGGCTTTGAATTGCCTCATCATTCAGATTTTACTTTAAATATGTATAGCAAAATAAAATGTTCATCTACTACATGACCAATACATAAAATGTCTTCTCATCCTAAAGGTCAAGTGGCTACCATAACGGGCAACCAAGACTAAAAAAAAATTTTTTTACACATATAGGCATTTAAATTTTGGGCATATATGTAGTTTTGCTATGTTGTATGCTTGTATGTAAGCTGCAGTTTATATCAATTGGGGGAGGTTTGTAGGTTTAACCTTTTGAGTTTATTGGGTGGGTGGTCAGCTCAGTATTTGAATGCACTTCTACCCTTATTTAAAGGGTAATAAACCCAACCATGTGTTCCTTCTCTTCAGTTCCAAAAGTTAAATGGGACAAGATTGGAGAGTTTAAATTCCTTTGTTCTACATCAGTGGTTCCCAAACTTATTTGGCCTTCCACCCCCTTTTCAGAAAAGTAATTTGTCAGTGCTTCCTGTAAATCTATCTACTTTAGAGCTGATTCACATATATGCGAATTGGATGCGTTTCGAACCGAATCCAATTTGCATGACATGTGAAATAACATTGCTTTCTATTGTGCCTATCCACATATGTCCAATGAAGCTGGAGTGTGGACTCAAATTAAAAAAAGAGTCCTGTCAGTTTTCTGAGTAGTATAGTCAGGTTCAGGTGCATATTAAGGCTCATTGACTTCTATGGGAACCGCTTCTGAATCGCATGTGTCATCAGGTTTTGAACATAACGTTTGCACAGTTTTCTCTATTCAAATACTGTCCTGAACCACTTCTGATCCATCCCTGAACTACTGAGCAGCTGCTTTGAAATTTGCTGTGAAAACAGACCTTCAAAACCACATTGCACGTGTGTGAATCCAGCTTTGAAGTAGTAGTAAACTTAAAGGAAAAAAAAGAAAATTCTTCTCTCTGCAAGGTAATGTCATAATGTGCTAGTATGCATCACATACTAGCACATTATGAAAGACTTACCTTAGAATTAAGCCCTCCAGCGGCAAGCTGTCACTGCTCAGGGCTTCCATCTTCACCTGGCCTTCCTTCCAGGTTCG